CCTCATGTGGGTAAGTCAAAACAGAGGCGATTACTTTCGCAATTGAGGACGCAATAGCAACATTCCCAGTACTCAGATTCTCGACAGATGTATTATCTGAGAACATTAACTAGCTATGATCAGAAACTAGTTGGGATTTGGGAACAACACCTCTAAAGAATATGTAATTTAGTGGAGAAATCATGTTTTACCCATGTTTGCCATGTATTGCTTGATTTTTTCATATGCCGGAAACTGGATCGCGACATGGCTTATTCCCGCCAAAGAAGGCAATATGCCACTGATCCAACACAGAAAGTTACGTCTAAATTTTAACATAAGCACGATATGCCACCAACAAAAAGGTGTTCAAAGTTACATAATTTCCAGTTTCATTTAAGATACTGACCTGTACAGCCCTCGGAATCCTTCTTCTTGACAAATTCTACTAAATGCAGACATTACACTTTTGTAAGGTATCACATCCGGCCTAATTCCTTGTGTCTGAGAAAAGTGGAAGAAAACCCAATATGAAAAAAAAATCCAGAATGTATAGTAAATTAGTAATGCTGAAACCAAAGAAAAGAGGACAAAACTTACCATTAATCTTGTCTTGACAACCCAAAGTGGATTAGTTGCAATAGATGTGGCAGCTCCAGCACCAGCAGCAGCTACCATGTTTGCCCCAATACCAAGCTTGCCATCTATCAAGGAAATATGAACAGTTGAAAGACGGTTGATAAAAAAGACTTTACCAAAATAACTGAGTTACGCAATCACTGGACTACATTATTTGAGCAAATATCTGATACTCTTCCGATTAAGCATAAGCAAGAATAAAGTCTAAATTTGTAAAAGAAAGAGAACCAACCACTTGACTGCAGTACATCCTTTAGCTTTCCATACACTGAGAAGTACACCTGCACATGATACCAGACTATCGATTACAAGGAAAGGATATAACAAATCTCCAATAAAAAAGATCCATAGGAGAATGTTGGGCAAGCAAATTCACTCGAAGAAACAAAGCTCGGCGGAGAAAAGTGGTACTTACAGCCCAATTTGGGAGGAGAGCTATGATTGTTGGTGAAAGCCCTCGATACATTCCCCTAAAACCTTCATTCTTTACAATATTCTGTAGGCTTGTAATGATTACACTACCTGATGATAATTCAACAGATATAGCTTGTTAGCACCTAATACGCGACAAAGAGAGATAGAGAGAGTCTTGATCAAACATGCAACAAGTTGAATAGAAGCATACACAATCTCATATCATCACACAAGATCTACAAGTTAGATTCGTAATTTGTAGGAATTACCTCTTTGACCCGAAGCTGGGGTTTCCGGGAGACCAATAACCTGTAACCTTGTTTTGATCACATCTAATGGGCAAACGAAAGTTGCCGCGATTGCCCCTGAAAAGTTCCCCAAATCAAAGCAAAACTACTCGTCACACACAAGAACCCAATCGAAAGAAGAAATTGAAAAGAGAAGAAAGATAATCGAACTGACCCGCGGTGGCTCCGGCGCCGGCGTTGCAAGCGGCCTCTCTAATGCTCCGGTAATCCAAGGAAAAGCTTCCTCCATGTTCAATCATCTCAGCAGAACTAAAACCCTAAAATCGCTCAAATTTCCAGGAATCTGTCTCAAAATTGAATACGAGATCCACAAATTGACAAACTCTCCGTCATGATTCCAAGATTATATACACTTCCCTTCGTTCTTGACATTGACCCGACCCGGAGAAAACAAAAAAAAAGGGTGAGAGGAACGAACGTGTGGGAGGGTAAAAGGACGAGGCTTTCTGCGTCTCCGAAACACGAGTCGCGTACGATTTAGGCACAAGAAAGAAATGGTCGATTTTCTTTTCTTATATATTCTGCACAAGAAGATAGAAAAGTGTCACACTGATGACGCCACGCATCAACACACAATCCAAGAAGAAAGTACAAAACACTTTCCCCTCTGCTAATTTTCTTGTCACCGAGAGATTATATCACTCTTCCATGGGTTTATTATACGGTAATAACGGGCAAAATATCCACACAAAATAAATTTAATGGAATCTGATAAAATACAGTAAACCGTGATATCTTTATCCAAACATATTCAAGGAAGAAACAATTAAATGAATGAAACCACCATGCATGGGTCAGCCAACATAAAAAAAAATTCTTGGGTTAGACCTCTGTTTGGTTTCGTAAAATGCAGTTTCGATGCAGCATTTAACTCTTCTTCAAAACAAGTATAAAGAGCTTGGAGTGTGTGTGGTCATTTTGGCATAGCTAGATATTGGAGATTTGCACAATTTTGGCATAGCTAGATATTGGAGATTTGCGCCGTTAGTAAAAACTTTATTTACAAGAATGTCATTATAATAATTTTCACTTCAAACAAAAAAAAACAAAATCAAAATTTACAATTTTGCCATATAACAGACTTAATATACTATTGTTACATGAGGCAACATACTTACTTTTTTATAGAGGGGACGGTAGAGAGAGATATTTTCTCTCCCTTCTCACTAAAAGCCTAAGTTCGCCCTAGCCGCATTCTTTCTTTCTTCGGTTTGCCTCTCCGGTGTCTGGCCTTCGCCGACGTTGTGAGAGGCTTCGCCTCCATCCCTTTTGCAACCAACGGCGCTTCATCTGTGGTTAAGACTCATAGCCGATGAGTATTTGGCGATCCTTGCTTCTCCCCGGTGTTGATGCACGTTGGCTCCGTCGTTATCGCAGTATTTCCAAGGTCGTCTTGGAGCTTCCGATGTGGACTCTGCTCGTGGTGCTTCGGTGTGGTTTGGTCCTTTGTAGCGGTGTATTTGTAGATATGAAATTTGCGGTGGTGGTGCGGCGGCGAGTGGACCCTGGCGGTAGATCTGCAGGATGTCTATTCCAAGCGTTGGATCTATTTGGGGACAACAGATCTAACGGGTTGGTTGCGTTCTCCCGGTGAGATCTTCTTTCATTGCCCTATTCTCCCTCTTCCGTCTTTCTTGCCTTCTCGGTGTAGGTAAAACCTCTATCCCATTGTTGCGGGCTTCGATTTACTTATTCTTCGAGGTTTTGTTTTGAATGTTGTGGTGGATCTTTCTGCTACGGGCTTTGGTGGAGGTTTTCTGCTCTGCTTCCCCTCTACAATGTAACTTATGCGCTTTGTGGTGGTTGGTGGTGGTCGGCGGTTTTGTTTGGAGGATTGTGTCACTTGGGAAGTTGGCTGCCCTCTTAGTTCGTGGTCGGTTTTGGCATGGCTTGGCCATGGCTATAATTGGGAAGTATGACTCATGCGATTTTTTTTCTATGCCGATAATCAAGCCACGACAACTTGTCCATCCTCTCTGCTTCACCTTCTAAGCCGATGGCTTCTGTGGCCACCAGAGTCCGCGCAATGGCGGCGACGGTTGAAAAGATGCTGGTGCCTGCGTTTGATTTTAGGAATTAAGGGTTGGCATATTATCCGAATCTAAAATCCG